GGAATTCCAGACTATAGAATCCTGTATTGCATACGATTTTTATTTACTCTGATGGCTATAATACTTAGATTATAAGTCTTTTGTTTAATACCTGGAACTTTAGAATATTTGAAAGTACATTGCTGATAACTACTTTTTTTTTTTGAAGGTTCTCTTTTGAATTTGGCCAAACATGCAGCTTCTACAGTTCAGATTCTTGGAGCAGAAAAGGCACTGTTCAGAGCCCTCAAGTCTAGGCGAGATACCCCTAAGTATGGTCTCATTTATCATGCTTCACTTGTAGGCCAGACAAGTCCCAAACACAAAGGAAAGGTGAGTTACAATTTTTCTGGGGTGGGCCTTTTTTTTTTCCTCCAAACAATCCATTTTCCTCCTACTCTATAGTAGTCAATTAAGTCTTATTGTTCTTTTTCATTAAAAAATAGCGAATTCTTTAAACACTTGTGTACACTGAAAGAAAAGATTAGAGGTGTTATTGGTCCTGTTAAAGCCATTCTCTTTTGCTGCCTTATTTAGTATTTTTCTAGAATCCACCTGTTGGGGGGAAAGCATATCAAAAGCTTTCTGTGTGGGAGGAAACCAATTTAACATTAACATTTATAAACTATAAAAAATAATAGCACATACACTGTGCTAAACACTTGATAGAACTTTGGTGAATCCTTTTAATAGCCCTATGAGTGGTGGGTGTGTCTATTACACAGAAGAAAACTGAGGCTTAAACAATTAAGTACTTTTGAGCTTTTTGTAGGACAGAAACTGAAATTTTATGCAATTCAGAGCAGCGTGATGGGAGAAATAAAGGGTTCATAATAAAATATTAATTAACTTGCAAAGGGGGCTATGCTTATTCTAGATGACCTCATGGTGTAGACTAATGTTACTTAATAGAAACTAAAGGAAGATGTTGGAAGAATAGACTGCACTATAAGAGTTTTTCATCCACCAAAAAGATAGTGATTATGTATGTAACCAGTTAACCATCATGTTGAAGCAAAGATTCAAATAGAAGATAGATGGCTTGATATGCATGATTTATAATATTTTTGTAATTCTTGATTTTAAAAAATTCTGGAGTGAATTACAGAGTTAATGATTTGCTATAGTGTTCTCATTAATAAATTATTGAGAGAATTTTTACATCCCAACTTGGAATATAGTTTGAATGCCTCTAACTTCAAGTTCTCTCTTAGATTTCTCGAATGCTGGCAGCCAAAACTGTTTTGGCCATCCGGTATGATGCTTTTGGTGAAGATTCCAGTTCTGCAATGGGAGTTGAGAACAGAGCCAAATTAGAGGCCAGGTTAAGAACTTTGGAAGATAGAGGGGTAAGAACCACATCCTGCCTGTTGCTGAAATATTACCTGTCAAAAGTTAATAAACCAAGTAGTTTATGTACTTTTCATTTCACCTGTTAAAAGGGTTTTACTTTATGATACATTTTAGTATGTCTAATATATTCTTTTTGTGCCTGCTGTTAATAGTTTCCTTAATATATACCAAGAATTGGTAGGGTATATATAATAGATTATGCCTTGGAAAGTTATTGATAATTTTTCTTTTCTTAGATAAGGAAAATAAGTGGAACAGGAAAGGCATTAGCAAAAGCAGAAAAATATGAACATAAAAGGTGAGTACATTCAGGACAGGATGAATAAACAATTTTTGCTATTTAAATGTAAATTGTTGACAGCAGTTTTTTATTATAGACTTAAGCAAGTCAGTATCCCCCTAATTCTTTGCCATTTACAGGTTTCCATATTCACTTCTAGTTTTTAATCATATATACATTTTTACATTCTTATAATTAAGTGCATGTATGCTTATATATAATGTACTTACGTATTTATATGTTTTAGTACACACATTCATAACTGTTTTCCAAGTTTTCTACAGTGGCCATATATTTTGTAATTTTTTTAAACCTAATTTGTTGTCTTCAGTTGAAAAATGTGGATCTTTGTTTTCTGGGTTTTCTTTTTAATAACATGTCTACATGGAAGAGACCCAGGAGAACCTAGTCACTCTTTTTTTTTTTTTTTTTTTTTTTTTAATTATAAATGTTTTTAACCTATAAAAGTTAACAGCCGTGAGTCTACAAAGTCAGCTTAATAGAACATTTCTTAGCTTGTTTTGAACAATTTTTTTTAATGTTCCCATGCCATTATGCTTATGACTTTAAACACATGCACTTAAAGCACTAGTTAAGAGATTTAGTTCACATTTTTAGCACTCAGTGCTTTAATTTTTCTTTATAGTTTCTTAGAACAAAAGCAAACATTTAGGTTTTAGGGTATCTTTATCCATAAGTATCCCTTCTTATTTCTCTGGCTCTTAGAATCCTGTGATGAAGTCTTCTGTATTAAACTTGATTTTGATTTTTTTTTTTCATTGAATTGCCTAATGTTCTAAAATTTGATTTGGTTCAGGTTTTACTCTCTACTATATAATCATTTGTTGTAAAGAGATTTCCTCCATTTTTTCCCCGATGCTGATTGGATGTTTTTCTGTATTGTAGTCACTATGTTGATTACTAAACCAGAATTAATGCAGGTCACCACTTCTCCTAAAGTGTGGTTGACCTACCTAGAAAATATTGAAACCTCTTTACCTTTTGGAATCTATTAGTTTTCATAAACTGCCAAAAGCCACTAAAATGAAACACTGTTGTATACTTGTATCACCTAGTGGTGTTTCCTTTTAAATCTCTTTAGAATTATTCGATTAGAGATTCTCTAAAATTCTGTGACCGTTTCAGTGAAGTGAAGACTTACGATCCTTCTGGTGACTCCACACTGCCAACCTGTTCTAAAAAACGCAAGATTGAACAGGTAGACAAAGAAGATGAAGTTATTGAAAAGAAGGCTAAAAAAGCCAAGGTTAAAGTTAAAGGTTAGTTTGAATTTTTTTAATGTCATTTATACTCTTACTCCTTAAGAAGTACAGGCTTAGTAAGTCTTGGGAGAGTACATACAATTGAACTTTATTGTGAAACCACCCATACTGAAAGCTAATGGTATTTTAATAAACTGTCATGTTCTCTGGGAATAGTTAGGATATTGTTAAATTTATTATATTTCATACAGGAATGTGAGCAGCATATGTTTGAATATGTAGAATTATACTAGGTTTAACAAAACTTTAGTTTCTACCAAGTGAACCATTTTGAGAATCAGCTTAAAATAGAAGAAAAAAAGATAATACAGTTTCTAAATTAGTGGCTGAAATTTTTTAGTTTAACATGGAATTGATGCAGCAGTACTTCATTCTTTCTGTTGCAGGGAAAGGACTAGGGAAATAACATAACTGGGTAGCCTGCCATCATAGCAATAATATTTAATAGATGCTCTCCAGCAAACTAGGCTCTTAAGAAGTTGATGAGTGAGTCCCCTCATTTATTAGCTGCACCTGTGTTGAGTGCCTACTAGCTGGTCTAGCAAGAGAGGCATCAAACCAATGACTAATTTTTGGTTTCTAAATAACTTAGTGGTTAGAAGTTGTACTGTCAGCACATACAGACTCCTGCCCTGGATGAAAAAGCATAAACAAGTTATTTAACTCCTGTGTTTCTGTTTTCTTATTGAACAGTAAGGAAATCTATAAACTCATTAGTAGCATTTGAAACACTCAATTCCAGATTTGTATCTTCACTTGTATATTCATTAAGCTTTTCAAACTTAACATTCCTGGATCCTTGCCACTCCCAACCTGTTGCTCCATAATATTCTCCCTGTTATAAATGGCAATCCTAGTTGCTGTTGCTTTGGCCTTTCACATTGACTATTTCTTATAATCCAAATCTAAAGTAAAAGTAGGCATTGTATCAGACTTCTCTCCCCCAAAACCCTTTGAGAGAGAGATTTATATAATTTTTGTCTGTTTTGTACCTTGTTGTATCTCCAGTCATCTAGAGCAGGCCCTGGCTTGTAGTATGTACTAAATGAGTATTTGGTCAATGAATTTCTAATGATAGCTACCCATTATTGAGTCCTCATTCTAATGTGCTAAGCATTTTGCCTATTATCTCATTAAGTCCTAGAAACAGTCCAATGGGATAGATAATACTAAATTTTATAAAGATGAGGAAGTTGACTTCACAGAGGTTAAATGACTTAGTCAGGGTCACAACAGGTTGAATAAACATAAATAAACCCAGGTTTCCTAACTCTAAACTTTAATCATTTCTAATATAATTGACTAGTCTCCAAGAAACAGTGGGTTTGGAGATCAGATGACTTGTTTTAACTTGATTTCTGTATATAGCTGCATGATCGTGAGAAATATACTTCTCTGAGCTTTAATATCATTTGTAAAGTTAGTGGTATTAGACTAGGTAGGTGTTTGAAGGACCGTTGCGATTATTAAAATATATATATTAAACATTAAGTACTTGACCAGAATGACAGGAAACACTATGACTCCCAAAGAGTTTGTTGGGGAAAGAAGTCTGATACAGTATCAATTGTTGCGTCTTGACACGTTTTCAGTTGAAGAAGTAGTAGAAGTAGAGGAAGAAGGAGTACAAGTGGTGGAAGAACAGGAGACACCTGTGAAGAAGAAGAAGAAAAAGGACAAAAAGAAACACATTAAGGAAGAACCACTTTCTGAGGAAGAACCATGCACCAGCACAGCAGTTGCTGTATGTTTGTTTTTAATTGCCAATACTTTATTGACATGGGCAGGGTCTCCATATTTTATTAAACTCTGTATATGAGAAATGAACAGAGAGTTTTTTAAAAAAAAAAAGATTTCATTGATTAGGAAGTAAAATTAAAACATTGTGTTTGTATTATAAAAGGCCATTTCCCAAACATAGGATCATATTACAGAATGAGTTTGGTTTGAGGATGAGAGAGCATAAGATTCGCTGCAGATCATTTTCATAGAGCTTTTTATATTTTTAAATTTTAGTCTTTCCCCAAAACTTGTTCTCAAGGAAAATAGATCTTTGCTTTTTATAAGGAAAAGTTATTTTGAATCACCCATAAATTTACAGCTTTTTCAAAGGCATTCTTGTTGGTTATTTTCAGAGTCCAGAGAAAAAGAAGAAAAAGAAAAAAAAAAGAGATAATGAGGACTAATGGAAGGAACCATTCCTTCAAAAGATTTCATAATTGAATCACCTGGATACATCATGCTTGAGATTCAGTCAGAAGTATACCAGAGATGCTCTCTAAAATAATTGACAGGAGGTTGAATAAAACAAAATGATTAATCAACAACATTTCAAACCTATTTATGTCGTGACATCACTTCAACTGTCATCATTTCTTAGAATATTTGTTATACAAATAAAAATATTTTCTTTGTATTTTAAGGTAGTTCTGTGCTTTCTATAGTTTACATAGGGAATCTTTGGCCATTTGTGTATTTTATTTAGCATTTGGTGACTATTATTTTGAGAATTATACCTGAAAAGTGAGAGTTGTGAACGACTAAGTTAAAACTTCGCTGTTTGGAAGGCAGTTATTAGATGGACCAGTTTAAGAATCCCACTCTAATAGGTTTCTCATGCCTTTTTGAAGTGTCTTCCATTTTTCCCCTATCTTAAATCATGTCCCTGACTTTTATTTCAGATGTGATTGTAGTTCTGAAAGGTATAAGAAAATAATCATTGGTCTAGATGCTGATTTATTTCTAAAATAACCTAAAGTGACTTTTTAAAGAAGATAATACAAAATAATTTTATAGTAAAGAATAGGGGTATGAAGGGAAAATATATGAGCAAAAATAAAACGTCAGTAGGAGTGAGATATAAACCAAGACAGAACACCAAAGAAATCTTTGTTTCTAGAAGATGGTGTTTAATAAGTAAATGGCAACTGGCTGGCAACCATAGGGTCATGACAGCCTTTTTTTATGGACTTTTATGTCTTGCATCTCTGTATGCTACAGGCATGATGCTGAAAGGCCCAATTTAATAAAAGCGTTCAGCAGTGGAGGAACTAGAATGATTGTAAGCTTTTTGAGTTCCACCTCTGCTTTTCATGTTACCTTGGGCAAGTCAACAGCTCTTCTTAACTTTAGTTTCTCATTTATAAATCAGAGGTAATAGTCACCTTTACTCCTCATAACAGTAGTTTGTAGAATGAGATAAACAGATTTTCAGAGATGGAAATATGTTTCAGATACAGGTATTTTGATTGAAGTAAATGCTACATCATGAAGTATATGTAGCCATCTCTAGAAAACAGTATATAATAAAACTGGTTATTTTGGGTCCAGGAGAAACTGTCATTTTATATCACCCAGGAGTACTCCAGACACATCCTTGACTTGGAATATTGTTGTTTTTATTGACGAAATTCTGATGAAAGTGGCTCATTGACCTGATAGGGGCTTTATAGTATGAAAGTTTTATACCTGAAATAAAATATACATTGAGAATACTTACTAATAAATTTCTAGTCATTTTGAGTGGTCTGTAGGCCTAGGGAGAGCCTCAGTGAATCACAGAACTATCAGCTTTCCCTAAGTGCGGAAGTCCTAACTATTTAAAACACCAAAAGGTAAGTTCTGATTCTTTGTGCTAAAATAAGCTCCTGTCTTAACTGAAGAGCCTTGGGAACTTAGGCTGAAATGGGAAGCTCAAGTGAATTGTATGTGCCTATTTTAATTAGCAAATTTGAAGAATTTCTGTGACTGGGGACACAGAATAATCCATGCCTTAAAGGTTACTGATTCTCCATTGTACTCCACCCCCTTCCCTTCAAAAGTACAAGTTTATATTTTCTAGTCTAAACTACTTAAATATCTCTGCACTGTCTGCTGAGTGTTCAGTGTGCTTCCTCATCAAGGCCTGGACTGAGCTCTGTCCTCTCCAGACCTCCAGCTTCAGAATACTTGATGCAGTTCTCTGTCCATCAAGAATTCTCTTCAGTCCATTTGTTTCCTTTCTAAGGTCATCTTTTAAAACTTGGCGCTGGCTTATCCTCTACCCCAGCTGTACCACTTAGAAATCATGCATTAGGGCCAAATATCGCAAACTTTGATGTGCATGAGAATCACCTGAGGCTCTTGATGAACTGCCCATCTGAGTAAATAGGTCTGGGTTGGAGTCCAGACCTCGTACAACTTTGTAGGTAACTTTCAATATTTTTTGTTCAAAATGTTTCTTAAAGCAAGTGTCAAGTGGTAATTCTTCTGGAGTATTTTAGTGTTCATACTGGGTTTGGTTTTAAAGAGAAATTAGAAGTACAGTAGACCTTTGAATAGTGCAGGTTCTCTTATACGTGAATCTTTTTCAGTAGTAAATACGAAGGGCCAACTGTAAACTATGCAGGCTTTTTACTAAGTAGGGGTCGTTGCCCCCAACCCTTGCCATCATTCAAGGGTCAACTAATTAGAACAGTGGTTCTCAAATGTGGGAATTAAATCACTTAGAGAACTCTAAAGGTAAATTTCTGACTTGGTAGATCTAGGATATAGGACCCAAGAATATGCATTTTGACAAGTTCACAGAAGATCTTGGCTTCACCTTGGCTACTGTACTGGGTGGACTTCGTTCTGTTGTTTTGCTATCTCTGTGGTACTCCAAACTACAACCTAATTTGATGCTCATGAAGTCAGGTCTGTGCATTTATCAGCATCAGGCAGTGGCTGTGTTTCACTGTAGGTAATTTGGGGAGGCCCTGGAGCTGGGCATTTAACCTGGTCAGTGCTCTTCTCACACAGTTAAGGCAAGCTTTGAATAGATTCTAGAAATAAAATTACCACAATTGTTTCCTATCTGTGAGAATTTACATTTGAAGGAATGAATTTAGTTGCTGATTCTGTAAGTGTTCTGTGCCTATTTGGTATAAGAAGTGAAAAAAACTTGTCATTGTTTTAAATTTGTGAGAACAAAACATCAGATTTGAAGCAGCAATGCAACATACTGCAAGAAGCACACAAAAACATCTTTGAAAGAAACATCAGTGAGATAAATTTATGGACTAGTCCCAGACATGCAAATGGCTGTGTATTTCTCAGTCTTTGGTTGACTATAAACTTAAAGTATGTGCTTAATCTGTTTATACCAGCCTCACTTTTTTTCATACCAAAATATTTAATACTTTGGAGTACTTCTAGTTTTTGTTTCTTGTTGCTGTTTTATTATAAAGCTGCAGTGAATGTCTTTGTATATTTATCTTCCTGTACTTGTGTTTCCATAGAATAAATTTCTAGATGTAAAATTACTGTGTCAAAAGGATTAGGTGTAAAATAGTGCCAATCTGCCTTCAAAATATTATAGTAATTTCTACTCCAACTAGTAGTGTTAAGAGAAAGTTCCTGTTTAAGGAACTATCTCATAATGGTCTTTTTATTAACATCTACCCCAGCCTCTTGATACCGTAATTTTGCACAAAGTAGTTAACTTTTTAAAAAAATTAAATTGTTTTAAATTGGATAATTTTCCTTCTCTACCTCTTAAAATTCTAGTCAAATGTACTGGAGGATTTCAGCTTACTGGTACAGAACTGAAATTATATTCAAGATAATACACTCCTGCCCAGTCTTATGCTGCTAAATCAAAAAAGGGAAGTTGAGTAGAAAAAGATACCCTCCAGCCCATTAGACCACTAGGTGCCAGAAAATTGTCATAACTATAAATCAATGACTAGAATGTGACTGCCTCCCATCTCAGAACAAGTTGCACAATTTGAAGCACAGCCTTGCACTTCCATGGTTCTAAATTATGGTCTCCTATCATTTATTGAAAAATATGAAGAAGTAAGCCTAACATGGTAATATTTATTGAGCACTTATGTATCAGGTGCTATTAACTTTTAGTGTAACAACCCTTTCTAACATACTGTTACGCACATGAGATGCACAGAGAATTTAAAGCACTTAGTCAATGCCATTGAAATCATTAGGAATGCCTCTAATGCTAGGGTTCTATGATTCTGAAAAGTGCAAGCTACTCTATGTTGAAACATTTTTTAATAGCCTGAAGATAATTGCAATCTTGTTGAAATATATAGTGGTGGGTGTGTGATGTTCATCGTCTTTTCTGTATGCATGAAGATGATCATGATTAAAAGTTCTACATTTTAAAGCAATTGCATGCTATTTATTTTGCTTTAACTGAGTTCTTTATCTCTGAAAACGTCTAAGTTAGATCTTTACAACATTGTTGGTCAATGAGCATTTGGGGAAACATGCCTTGGCCAGGCAAAGGTTAAAAAGCCAGGAGAACTCAAGGAAACATGCAGTTTACAACATGAACTTCAAACCTCGCACCCTCCTGATGAAGAAGGTCTTGTTCTCATTTTAGCCCTTTCTAGCTTGAGGAAGGAGGGAAGCAGGGAAGCAACAAGTAGAGATCTCAGTAGATGAGAACTATGGATATTATGAAGACAAAAGCTGCAAAGTAGAATGTGAGCTTCTTGAGGAGAAATCCTCCCCCTCCCTTCCTCTACTTGACGCAAGATACTACACACACAAAAAAAGTAGAGAACGGCAGAATGACAACAGAGACCTACCCCTTGGCAGGTAATCAAGTCGTAAATACAGCTGCATCTCATCATACCCCGTGACCTCACCCTAAAACTGCACTCCAACATCCTTTGAACTTTGGCAATTTAGTGCTCGCTTAGCGAGCCATGCTATGTCATAGAAATATGGGGAAGCCATTTTATGAGTACTTACGGCCTCAAAACTACCTTCCTCACCTAAGCCAAGAAGCAGAGAAGGCCTTGGTTTTATAGCAAAGGTGAATGTTCAATGTGCCTGACTCTAGGAGGAAAACTGGTCCAACAACAAATGCATCTATTTATATCCTATAATCTGCTGGGCCAGCAACATGCTAATAACCAGCTGGGCATAATGGAGAGGCCACAAGCGACTGCCAAAATGGGAAGATCCCAACACTAGTGGTCAGAGAAAATGATACACCTGAAAGCGCTGAGTAAGCCATAAAGTTCTATATGAAGTGTGCTTCCTGTGGTTATGAGCTGGTTTTACCACTTACTAGTTCATGTACTTGGACAAGTCAATCTGTGCCCTCTTAGAGCCTCAGTTTCTTCATCTATAAAATGGAAATAATAATTATCTTATAGGGCTCTTGGAATCTCAGATGAGATAATTTATGCAAAAACTCCTTGTAAGCTGGACAAATGTAAAGTATTATTACTCAAATTCTTTTTTACTTAAAAGCAAGAAGACTCAAGATTTACATATTCTGATAATTTTAGAAGCCAGGTGTAGAGGTAGAAAAGTAAAAGATAAGAGAGTCCTGGAACCATAAATCACCACCAGTGGCTTGGAGGACAGCTACCCACTACCAGGAACAAACACTTTGAACTTTATAGAGGAATAAATAAACTT